GTATTATATTAAATTTATATATACTTTTTTTCAACAGCTACAACAAAATTCTATCACAAATCATATTTATATAAGTGTAAATTAAGAAAAATAATATTATAATATAAATTTTTTTACCTATAAAAAAATATTATGAGATAGATAAAGATAACAAAATTTAATAAACTATATCGATAAGTTAACTATAAACAAATATTTAATATTATGCCAAATAGGCTTCTGATCAAATCTATATTATAATTTTCCGATGTCCTCACTACATCATTGTGACGTAATGTCATCGCTACGTCATGTCATCGCTACGTATTTATTTATTTTTATTAATTAATTTATTTTTTACAAAAGCAAGACTCGGTATAGTCTGATATGATAGATTTTCGGTAATATTTTTTGATGGAATAATTAAATGAATAAATAAAATATATATTTTTTTCCATACATATATCAATAACACTAATATCTCCCCATTTATTTTTCTCCCTACTTATTCTTTACTACTATCATTTCAGTGGATCCCAACTTATCCACGAGAGGTACCATCAATCCTCTTTAATTAAATGGGCCCTGTCAGTAGGGTAAATTACTGTCAAAATTTTTTTTAGTGGATCTTTACTTATTCACGAGAGGTACCATCATTCCTCTTTAATTAATTGGACCCTGACAGTAGGGTAAATTACTGCCAAACAGTGGATATAAATCCACTGCACTGGATACGCCCTCTTTTGGGTGGGGGAAGCCACTTAATTGTGTGTTTCCCCAGTGAAGGACAAGACAAGCAAGACTCAAATAAAAAGCAACTATTATATCCTGGTAAATAATATTTATAATTTATAAAATTTTTTATTTATTTACTTTTTTTATAGGTGAAATATTTTGAGAAAAAAATCCAAGAAAGCATGACTCAAATAAAAAGCAACTATAATCCTGGTAAATAATATTTTTAATTTATGATATCAAAAATTAAATATCATTCAATTATTAATTCAACCCATATTCATTTTGAGAAGAAAGGGTAAATAGTATTTTTTATTTATAAAAATGAGTTTTTACTAATCAAACAATCATACACCCTTATTTTCCAAAAAATGAGTTTTAACAAGGGCTAATATCAAAAAATAAATATCATTCAATTCTTTCAAGTAAATTAAATTATAAATGCTTATATTTTTTAATACATCAATTTTAGCTTCTGATGATATTCCCACTCTTTCTAGAGAGTTGATCCTAATATTGATTCCCATACGCGTACGCAGGAATTTGGTCTGGGGGGGGATAATAAAATTTTTTAAGAAATATTATTGTTTTTTAAAAATATCAAGCATAAATTTATTAGGACTAATAACTATTTCTAATACACAATTTTAAATTAATGTGAATTATAAAAAAATTATATGTAAAGAATCACTTAAATGACCCAAAATAGAAACTTGAATTTTTTGAGCTTTAAAATTTATATATAAAGTATAAAAAATTTAAATGTTAGAAATATAAATTAATACACAAAAAACTTAGGGAATAATTGTATTTTGTATGTTATATATTTACAATGTAAAATCCAATCTTCGTTGGGATTGAGCTAATTTTTCAATTATCTCATCCTTGCTTGTTGTCAAATGCCTATGAATATTCAAAAGATCCAAACCTTTCAATCTACTTTCAAAAGTTGTACTTCTTGGTATGTTTTTCGGCCCGGCCCCCGGGCCGGACTGTATGGCCGGGCCCGAAATTTTTAAAAAAAACACCCGGGCTGAGCCTGAATTTAAAAAAAAACATCTAGGCCGGGCCTGAAATTTTTTTTTAAAAAAATATCCGGGCCGGACTGTATATTTTAAAAAAGCATATATTTGAAATCATTATTATTAGCTATAAAAATCAAAAATAAATATATTTTATTTTAAAAAAATCCGGGTCGGGCCTGAAAATTTTATTTTAAAAAAGGCAGAGCCGGGCCTGAAAATTGAGCTTATCCGCAAAAATCTTAAAAAAAATCCGGATAGTGCCCTGCAAATGGTATCTCTGCAGGGCTCTGTTATTCTTCTTAAAAAAGAGAATGTTCTCTCATTAGTTTACTATTGGGAAGAGTTGCTAATATATACAAACCCTTTTAATATATTGGGAATATAATCTAAAATATGTTTGAAATAATGCAGAGCATCCATAGCATTTTTGGGACTGTATCAACCATAGTTAATCTTATAAACATAGTTATTCAGCTAATAAGGTATCATAAGATACTTTAACATCTTCATGATAAAAATCCAACAAATATTTTTTTCTATCATCATCTGAAAAAGGTTAAGAAGGCTTTTATGGAAATAATATTTGCAGATTGGTAAGTGCTGCATAATGAATTAAAAACCATTCATTTATTTGGTTTATAAATGTATTTGTATCTAAGATATACTCTTCTACTGATCCTATATTAATGTTTTAACTATGAGCTTGCCTTGCTGCAATTCGAGTGAGACAAATATTAAACACGTATGGCTCTGCTTTTGACTTAACAATAAGATATAAAACATGAAATTCTTCATAAACATTAGCCCTAATTTCCTTGAATTCTAATAAAATGCTCTCCGCTATTCTCATCTTCTTAATCAAGTCATCATGTTTTTGAAAAGTAATACATAAAATAGTTGTAAATTCTAATGAGAAAAAAAATTTGGAATAAGCATTGAATCCAATAATTTTCTTGCTTCTAAGGAAAAATTTCTTTCAGGCCATTGTGATATGTCAGTAAAAGCAAATAATGGGCTCTTCTAACTCCATAAAAGCTGTTACTGCTTGATGGCGTAGACTCTATCTCATAGGACAAGGTTGTAATTTTTTTCTCCCTGATGGACAATTTCCGAATAATTATTATTTGACTAGAAATTTAAAAATGGTAGATAAATATTACGCCACTAAAAATTTGAAAATAATAAGATAATATTATGCCGGAAAACTTGAAATCGAAATTAGTTGATAAACTTAGTTATGAATGTGATAATAAATGTAATTAAATATATATTTAATATGAGATAGGAATAAATATTAACAAATATAAATTAATATGTACTGTGTAAATTTAATTCAAAACATTTCCATATTTATTAATTTATTTGAAAATAAAATTATTTGACTTGTAAAAAGTTGTTAAAATAACATATTTATATATTCTTATCAATTTTTACAAGTTAAAATTTTTATTTACAAACGAATTAAAAAATATGGAAATGTTTAAATTAAATCTGCACAACACTTTAAACAAAAATATTTTTGAAAAATATATCCGGCATCTTGTTGATTCCTCTTCAAGTTTAATACATTAATATTTTTAAAATTATTCTTATGTTTTTATTTTAGATAACAAGCCCTGTCTTAACCTCTCTTAATGATTGTACAGATGCTGATTAAGCAACTATTATCATGGTAAATTATTATTTTTTATTTATTAAAATGAGTTTTTACAAGGGTTGATATCAAAAAATAAATATCATTCAATTAATAATTCAGCCCATATTTATTTTGAGAAGAAAAGCAAGATAAGGGTAAATAATATTTTTAATTTATAAAAATGAGTTTTTACAAATCAAACAATCATCATACACCCTTAGTTTACAAAAAGTATGACATCAATAATTTAAACTTTCCCATTCCAGCTACACACATTCAAAATTATTATAAATATTTATGAAAATAGTTTCAAAACACAAAAGATTAACTCTACCATTTTTTAAACAAAAATGTGGTATAAAACAAGGATGTGCCACCCCCCATTTTCAATCTACTAATTAGTGACATCACAAATACCAGTAACCTACAAAATGTAATGCTACGCCGACAACATATATATTATTATTGAAGATGCCACTAACATTAATTATTTTAACAATAGTCTTAAATAATATGTGAAAAATCAGCCTGATAAAAAATTAAAAAAAAAACTATTCTATTTTCCTTTCCTTTCCTTCCCTTTTAATTTCTTTTATTATCTTCACCTTTCTCAAACTTTTTAATTTCCTATTTCTTTCTCTTTAGCTTCCTTTCCATTTACAATATTTAGTATGATATTTTTTATAATTTAAATAAATTTACATATCTATTTTAAGCATACTACGTATTTTTAAAGCTATCCATTTTGTCGGGCCGCACAATATGCCCTTTTATCTCTGATGAATATTTTGTTTAACTAACAGAAAAATATCCAAAGTACATTATTTTTAGTATTTAACTAAATTAATATATCAATTTTTAAGGATCTTACTTTTTTAAAAGCTTGCCTTTTGTCAGATCCACAATTGCTCTATTCTCCATGCTGATTATTTTGTATAACTCACCAAAAAATAAGTACATTTTTATTATAAATAATTTTATAGAGGATTTTATATCTATTCAAAAATCAATATATATATTACAATATTTTTATATTCAATTAAAATTATATATTTATTCTTTATGATCCTACCTTTTTAACAATACCCCTTTTTATTCTTACTAATTTTTTTGTATAACTCAATAAAAAAGACAAAACGGGGTTTTCTATTTTTGGATTTTATATTTATTCCAAAACAAAATACATACTACGGTATTTATATTATTTAAATTATTCTATATCTATTCACAAGGTTCCTATTTTTTTTTAATTTGCCAATTGGACTCTCCGAATGGTATTTTATTTTAATCCTACCATAAAATTAACTTGAGAATTGTTTTGTTTTTACTTTAGTTAACTATACCCATCTTATTTCCTCTTTATAATTGTTCAAATATTGATATATCAGCCATTAATAATGAACAAATGCAAAATAAACCTTTGGAATATCATAATAGGCTAGATAAGTACCCCCAAAAACTTTTTTGATGATAGCCCTCCAACTACTAGATATTTGCATCTAATATTGACCCATCTAATGGTTTAAATTATTTTCATGTTTGTTTAATTAGTTTATTTATATTTTTGCCTGATTTCTTTATTTGTCTAGGCTAACCCAATCTTAATCCCTCACATTGTTACAAAACATGATGAATCTATTATTAAAGATAAGCTAACAAAAAAATGGCGATTCAACAAAAGCCTTACCCGTTCTAGAGTTACTGGTGGCCAAGATAATGAAGAACTGTGAACTGAGGTTTATTTTGTTTTTTATCTATATGTTTATTTTATATTAACCCAGTTGCCTCCAAATGTATTTCTATCACCACTACCACAATCCCTATGCCACCTCTGCCTAATTTTTAACAAATATAAGCATTTAATTTCACTATTATTCACCTCACTAGGAGTTAATATAAAAAGTACTTTATCCGATTCCCTGATAAACTTTCATGAATATTTAAAGGGATGTTCAAACGTGAATGTGTAGTGCGGCCAATTTCATTAACATTATTAATGGGAAAATATGCGGTAGTTTTATCATGGCCTTTATAACAATACTTACGACCGTTTTATGGTTGAGTTGACAATGTCGTTCATGATTCTATTTTAAAACTGACACTTTGGCAGAAATATCATTATGCGTTCTTCTTTTACCAGTAGCCCAAGGCCTCAGCTTTATCAGGACGAATGGGTGTTGTACACCGCCGGTAATCCGTCATTATTCATTACTTTCACCTACAACCCTAAAAGGGATATTATACATTAATTATTTCCTCTGCAGACGACTTCCCAGATTTATTTTGTCGCTTTTTCCATCAAAAATAAAATGTCATAAAGGATTTGCTCTTAATTTTATCAGACACACAAAATAATAATTAATCCTCATCATTTTTTTAAAAAATTACCTAAATTTATATGGCAAGAAAAACAAATTTCTTAAAAAATATATAAATAAATTGCATATAAGTTTCATTAGTATTGAATGGCATTTTTGTAATTTAAACAGATAGCATTTTTTTGTACTTAACATAAAGATATAGATAGCCCTTATCAAATTTTTTGATAAAAGGAGTTAACCCACTATTTGGTAAATCCGAGATTTCCCCTTCATGTGATGATAAATTATTTAGAAATTTAACTATCTCCGGGTTTGGGAAAAAGTTTTGAAAATTAATATGGGTTGGATTGGGCTTGGAAAATATTCCTCAAGATTAATATTTGCTTGCACCTGACTTGGGAATATCTTTTACAAATTATTATGGGCCGGGCTAGGAAAAAATTTTTAAAATTATTATGGGTTGAGCTAGGCTTGAGAAATTTTTTTAAAAATTATAAGGTCTTGGACGCTTGGAAATTTTTTCCAAACCTGTTGAAATTTTTTAATGTTAATGTTAGTCTTATGTAATTAGTAATATATTTACAAATAATTTTAATATTGGGTAAAAGCTGATTTAAATATATTTTGACTCAAAAAATAGTTTCCACTCTTAGTCCTAATTGGTTGGACTCAATGACATTGGTTGGACTTAACCTAAATGGGGAGGGGGTTTCATTTTATATCTTTAAAATTCATTAACAATTTAAAGGATCATTTTATAAGTTTAAAATTGCAATGTTGGATTTTTTAAAATGTTTTATAATCTTACTTTTTTGATATAAAATATCATCAGAAGGCATAGGTTATTTTATTAATACTTTTATTGTGTAGTATAAAGAACGAGATATGGTAAATAAAATACTAATGAAATAAAATTCAAGTTTTTTAGAATTAAATAGATTTAAGAGGGGAGAAGATTACAGAATTTATTCTCCTTGTATTTTAAAAAGACTTAGATATATATATTTATTTAAATTATAAATCGAGCCTAATAGATGATAATAATAAATAATTTTTTTTTAAACATTTTTGTTACATAATAATATCATAAAAACCAATATCATACAAAATCGCGAAAAACATTAAATTTATATAGTATATTTCATTATATTTTTTTTAAAAAATTGAAATCTATATTCAAATAAACACATGGGCAATAAGGGGTTGTTTGTTAATGTTAATTACAATTTGCGAATGTCAAGCGTTTAAAAAGGCATTTATTCGTTGTAATCCCACAAATCTTTTTCATAACCTTCATGCACGTGTTGAAGTAAAACTTTTCTTCTGCCTTCGCAATACCTTTTATAAAAAATTCAAAATATTTTTGCATAAAGTTTTATGATCAAATATTTTATTAAATTACAAAATTTTTAAGTGATTTGCTTTTATCTTAAAATACAAAAATATTTTTTATCCATCTAAAACATTTCCAAAATTAAGACAACCTCCTTTCATTTACCAGCAACACCCTCCACGTCCCCTTAAAGAAATTAATTGAACTTACGAAGAAAAAAACATTAATACAATTTTTGAAATCTATCCATCAAATTTCAAATCTACTTCTATCCTGCATAAAACGTTCCTTTCAATAAATGTCTAAACCTAACTTATCTCAAATAAAATAAACAATTTTTACATTAATTAACAACCTCTGAAAACACTCGCAATAAATGATAAAATTATGATCGATTTCTTTCTACAAAAACCTTTTTCCTCATTAATTTCCAAACATGATCAAACTATTTGTTAATACTATCCAATTCGTCAGAAAAGACTGATATACAGGATAAGGGTCATATCCATACCAGCCATATCTTGTTTATCAATTTTGAGAAATTATTAAACATCTTAAAAAAAAATAACATCCCTACTCAAATTCTCCCAATCATGTATGGCGCTAGATCTTATGGATAATTATTCAAAAAAAATCCCGAATCAGAGAAATCTTCTACCAATTTCAACTCATCAAATAGGTTTCTGTATTCACGAAGGCTCCAAATAATGCGCCAAATTGTTCGACTAGGCTTATGGGACACAAAAGGTGATAATTTTTTAAAATGAATTCAACATCATTAAAATAAATTTACACCTTCTTCTCTGAGTATATCTATTATATTTTTATAACTACAGTAGGTTATTTTATAAAATTTAAAGATCACTCTTATCATCCAGGAGGGTATTAACAGGGTGGCCTTCTAGGGTCCACTGTGCCAGAATCCATTATTTGATTTTCGGAATCAAAACAAGTGAAACGATAGTTGGACGATGTTATCATTTCAGGTATCTCAACCATGTTCATTTCAAAATTAATCGAAGATCTGTCCTTGACAATCAACAGGTCCATCTTTCTCTTCCATTCATTCCAAACAATACCCATAGACTATTTAACTCCCTTGTGAACACCCATAGGAGGAAGGAAGCCAGTTAAAACGCCTATATCTAACTCTGTGAACATCTAAACACTCCTGTTATTCACTACACCATTTCATTTTTAAACAGTCATAAAATACTGTGGATGTGAATTCCCTCCTATTCTTAAAAACGAAAATTTCCTGGCATGAACTTAAAATAAAATATCTACTGGAATCTCCTTTATATTTATAACCCTTAAATTTTGCGGTTCAAAGCTATCCTGCTATGTGAATCCAGCGAGATTGGCATTTAATCTTTCCTCTCATTAAATTTTCAACTTCCCAGGGTGATTCTAAATTAGTGCAAAAACAGTCCTACATCTTGAAATAAATTAGTTTTTCATGACTAGAGACTAGGATGGAATGTTCACTTCGTTGCCTGTTCTATTGGTTAACATTTTCGAATGATCAACTCGATTTAAACTTTAACTCAATCCTTTTAAAAACTAAAACTAGCTATGTAGATTTAAGTTTTGTCTCAGCCAAATCATTTAGAATTTTCAACGCCCTCCGTCTCGGCTGTTAATAACATCACCTGTGTTGACTAAAGCGAAACAATTGGCACCACTACTTGCTACAATGTAGGGTAGCAAACCTGCCATAATTTCATAAATATCAACAATCTTATTTTACAAGCTTTTACAAGAAGCCAGAATTCGCTCCTTCCCTCTAACTTTTTAATGTATTCTAGGTAGGCCTACAAAAAAACGAATCGAATAATTGCGCTATTCGTATTCGTACGAATAATAAAATCATTATTCGTTTCGATTCGAAAATTTTTCTAAAGCTTATAAAATATTTTACAGATGTTTAAAGATGACACTTTTAAGAATTCTCTAAACTAATTGTCATTACAATATAAAAATTTATAGAAAATAAAACCCAATGATTTCATATAACGTTAACCAAACAAATTGACCAAAATATCCGAATTTTAGAATTAGAATTGCTTATAAAAAAATATTTAAACTATTTCTTCAATCTAATATTAAAATTTTCTAAAAATGTACAATAATCTCATTTTATAAAAATAGAAAATAATACACAAAAATATAAAATTATAGTAAATCCAAATTTGATAATATCCAATTTTTTAAGCATAAAGTCTTTCTAATAGTTTCCTCCTTCAAAGACATTCTATTTTTCATTATCATATTTGTTCCTATTGAGATCAGCCGCTCACATGAAGCCGAAGATCCCTGAATTGACAATATATCAGTTGCCATTTTCGACAACACAGGAAAACGATCCCCATGCAATCTCCACCATTCTAAGGGACTCTTATTTGAATTCTTATTTCGTTAAGATATGTCTCCACCTCACATACTGATGCGATGTTATTTTGTTTAAAAATTCTATCCATGTTCGACTGTACTATTGGGTTAACTGATGTTGATTTGATATTATATTTTGTAATCATTATATACATCTTTAAATTTTTCTTATAGATTTGTCGTGTCTATGTTATATATAGTTGGTAGTTGCTCAAAGAATTCCATTTTTAGTCTAGGATCCAGTATTGTTGATATTATAGTGTGAATATTTGTTAAGTTATAATAAGTTTCTATTTTCTCAATCGCACTGATAGAGTTTATAAAATGGAGATTTATTTTACTTGCAATAAAATATTTGCGAATAATTACGAATATTTATATACAAATAATTTCGAATAATTTTCCTCATTATTCATATTCGATTCGAAATTTCGAATCGAATAATTGTGTTATTCATATTCGTAAAATACGAATCGAATATCAAATAATTCGTTTTAGGCCTAATTCTAGGCCATACAGTATAATCCTAATACTCTAATCTAACTCTTCTCCTAGTTGGGAATTTACCTACAATGATTTCATAGACAAGTAAAATAATACACCAATCTTAAAAATTACTTCGACTTTAAAAATGTATTCTTCATACCCATAATCAACACCTATGGAATCTTCGGGGACGAGGCTGTGGAAAATAACATTAGATACTAATGTTTCCAATGAGGAGTTTTACCTCAGTCAGAGGATTTTCTTAGAGATCTGTCTTTAATTTCAAGAGCATCCACTTACTGCGATAAACCTTATTATTTTTACATTTAGTCTGCCTATATGTTTTACCCCCATTCATTTAACAATATAAAAATTTTATATAGTTCCCACTCATAATATTTATTTAAATACCGTGATGTTTTTTAAACGTGCCAAATAGATATTTAAAATAAATAAATTAACTAAAGATTAAATATGGATTTTAAAAATCTTTTACATCATCCTCATTTTTAACCTGTATTTATCCTGAACTTTTTGTTTGATTTCGGCTTGATCTTCTTGCGTAATGTTTCTTTCGAGGTATTCAGAGAGTTTTTCAGTTGCACTTTCCAAATCCTTTTGATTTTCCTGCAAATTGATATAAATATTCCATAAATAATAAAATGAGACAAAAAATCCTTCAATCTTTGAATGATCGTGAATAGGCTTAATAGATTTCGTCCCTACGATTTTAACATTAAAAAATTGATGCAGCATTATTGAAAAAATATTTTATTAAAAAACGGGCTCTTTCTTATTTAAAATCGTATTAGTTATTTTATATCCTATTTATCTAAAAATCAATGGTATACATTTTTAACATCTTTTAGTTTATGATCAAATATTATGTATTTTTATCGAAACCAAATCTTATTCCCAGTCTAAACTAAACCCATTTACTGATTAAATATTAAAAAAATTTCCCAGGAGTTATATAAATTGGCACAACATTTCAAACAACTCTCAAAGATTTTGTTATGCTCATCTACTACCCAAAACTTTTATCCAGCCCAAAACCAAGTTATCTAAAATTTTTCATTTTCCCTCGCAGAACAAATAAAATTAGAACTATAAATTTTAAACTGCTTCCAACGGATTTTTCCCACCAAAACTTTATACTCGGTTCAAAAACTAGTTGTTTAATAAAAAATCATTCTTTTCCCTTGTGGAGTAAAAAAGATTCGCACTATCGTTAAAATATTTCCAAAAATATGAACTTTGTAATTATCCTTTCTAAATTTAATAGAATTCCTTTAATAAAATATTTTTTCAATAAAGCTAAAATAGTTTTCGATGTTAAATTAATTTTTAGAGGTATTTTTTTTGAAAAAAGTAAAATGTTGAGTAAATATTTAATTTCATTACCGGGCCTTTCCATTTCAAATTGATCAAAAAAATATCACTTTTACAAAATAATTGCTTATATTCATTTTTTTTAGTAAATCCTTAATTGAATAACGATCGATAAGCGTAAAAAGGTCATTTTTTATACTTTGACCCTTGATATCTTCAAAATTATAAAAACTAGAATACTAAAATTTGAAAATTGCTTTAGTTTTTATAAAAAATTTCCCCCAAATTCCAATGGGCCGGAAAATGGTAATCTATTTTTAATTTTGGAAATTAATAATTTATAAACTGTCCAACAAACTTAAGACAAAATTTTATATTTGATGAAATTTCAAAGAATTTACTAGAATTAACTTAATATTATATATAAGGAAATATAAATTTGTTAGTTCTGCATAATATTCATCTATATTTAAAGGCTATATTGATAAATTTTTTTGAAATTACATCAAAAAACTGTTTATTACTAATTTTATAAGAAACATCGAAGGATACGAAATGAAGGTAGTAAGGGAAAGACTAATATTTTGAATGGAATGCTTATTTTAGTTGGAAAGGGTGGGGTGGTAACTAGTGTTGTTAAAAAGCCCGATTAGGGTCGATTTTTCAAAACGGCCCGATTAAGATTATAGCTAAATAATATTATGTAAGCATCGAGATTTGGCAAATAGATGTCCAAGCATTTCTGCTAGCTATGTGCAAAATCTTTAGGATTTTATAATGTTATTTTGTTTATAATCTAAATCGGGCCATTTATTAAAATCGATCAGAATCGAGATTTTTAACAACACTAATGTGAATAGTAATGTTGGAACCCACTCCCTTTGAGCATCTATTGTGGCAGAGTTTGAAAAAAGGACATAAAATAGAATAAAGGCATGGAAAAGATGGTAAGGAAAATTTAAAAAAAGAGAAGAAAAAATAAATTTACCTCAAAAATAAGGGATTGATTATTGCGCTTTAAGTAGTAAGCAAACACGTAAGTGTACATGAGTGTTTGACGGCATTGGCAAAGGACGTCGACAGCCTTTTTGAGGAATTGTACCTCTATCCAGCTCATATTGAGCGTTTGTTGCATCTCTTCCATCTTGCTTTGGATGGCGCAGTAGAGCTGAAGTACATTTTTTTAAAGTAACCTTATTATTATTAATGTTTTAGCTTCTTTGCTTTCTAATAATTTGTATGTATGTAAGTTAAGGTTAGTCCTATAATGAGAGTTCCATGTTTAGTATAAACAACTACATTTACAAAGTTAATTATTAAGGCAAAGAGGAAAAAAGAGAAAAAACGAATGTTTGGTTGCCGTTAACTAAATTTCGCAATTTCCAAGTATGGATGATATTCTTAAATGGGTCATTCCATGACAAATCAACCACGATTCGGCCGACCCCCTTCGATTTTTTTAAAATTTGGTAAGCAAAGAAAGGTCAATGTAACTAAGAAATAGCCAAAATTTTAGCCTCGTAACATTTATATTTTTGGAGATATTAGGGTTCAAAGTGGCAAAAATGTCGTATTTTTACCATTATCTGCCTTCATTCAATTAAGCATATCTTAAAAACTATCTAATTGTAAATAACAAATTTAATATCAAAATTACTTACAAAGATTCTACTTTTAGATAAAAAAAAATTTTTTTTTTTCAATTTCCGGCCATTTTATTAAATATATAAGGACTAAAAACAATTTTTAGAAATTATACGACCTTCAATTTTTTTAAAAAATTTAGTAGACAACACTGAACTCTTCCTTTATAGTTATAAAAAAAAATTGGTCTGGGACGAGGCCATCTTCATTCTCAAAATCGATAAAAATGTTTAGAAAAGTGTATAAATATTTTCCCGAAAGGGGGCGTCTTTGCATAAATTTATATTTAAATCAGTTTTTAATGGTTTTTCTTGGACTATTTGATATAATTTAAAGGATTATTCATCTTGTAAATATAAATTATAATATTTTCTTCACTTATGGGGCTTTCATTCAAGTATAGAAATTATCTATCGATAAAAGAAACTCAATTTATTACATTATTATTTATAATTATTATATATTTGCCCATATAACATATATTTAACGAATATTAATAAAATATGATCCACCAAATATCGATCAATTTTTTAAAATAATGTGATCGTCGCAAAAAAAATAAATTTTTCAAAGTCAAGATATATCATATTTTTTTTGTGTCTCCATATTATGTACATTGTATTTATTGTTTTGTTTTTACCAAAAAAAAATAATATCTGAAGAATTATAATTCTTCCATTGACGTGGAAAAGCTAATAAAATATTACAAATATTAATTTATTATTATTATAAAATTATATACAAAATAAAAGTATCATCAATAACCCAAACAATATAAATATTGGATCGGATTTTCTAAAATCGGCATAGCTTTACTTGTAAATAAGAATAAATGAGTGTTTCAATCAATAAAATAAAGAAAAATTGAAAATTGATTAATCATTCAATAACACATGCTCACTATATTAATTCATTTTTTAATTAATTTCTTGGTATTTTAAAAAAACTATAATAAATTCTAATTATTCTTATAATAAATTCTAATTATTCTTATAATATCAAAGGTAAAAAAATTATTTAATTGAAGCGATAAATTTTATAAAAAACTAAATGAAAATAATTAATAATGTCTTATAAGGATATTTTTGGTTTTAAAACTAAATCAATAATTTTTTCAAAAATTAACCAGTTACTTTCTACATCAAAATAGGGTTTTTGGAACAAAAAATGATTATACCATATTTTTACTAAATTTTATATAGAATTTTACATGAATAAATAGTCCTGAAATACTAGGTTAATTTAAATTATAATTATTTGTTTTATATGATAAAATATATAATATGTAGAGCGAGCAAAATCAGATTAGTGATATCGGTTATTTGGCCGATATCAATATAATATCTGCAATATCGTATCGGATTAACCCCCTAATCGGTACACCTGTAATTATTAGATATTCGGTGATATTTTTATAAATTAATTTGTTTTATCATATAGAATTTCAATAAAATGAACAAAAATCTTATTCGAAAAACTAGATGCTGTAACCCTTTTAAAATACTAAAACATAATAATGTAACTACAAATCTTAGAAATGTACAATCTTGGATGTCACTTCACTCAGATGATAAGATATGTGATAAATGTCGAAGAAAACTCGGAACAGCTAGTAAGTCAAATGACGCATTTAAAGACCCTGATATTCATCATATCGAAGAGAACCTGGCTTATGAATCAATTAATACATCATTGATAGAAATTGGAGAATCTCCAATAAAAAAGAAAAGGTTGAGAGAAAAAAGATATCCAATTAAAAAAATTACCAAAATAAAAAAGGCTATAGAAACTCATTTAGATATAAATGCGATTGAGCCAGCTACTATCGATAAAGATGATGGTATTCTAAGCAATATTAAAAAAAATTTTTCACTCTTATCTAAAACTGATAAATATAAAATTTTGACGATATTACCAAAGAATTGGACAGTGTCCAAAATAATGAATGAATTTAATACAACAAAATACATGGCAAGACAAGCTAAATTATTGATAGCGGAAAAGGGATTTTTATCAACCCCTAACCCCAAGCCTGGAAATACTATAGACGAATGTACAGTTAAAATTGTACAAGAATTTTATTGTACGGACGAAATAAGCAGAATCATGCCAGGCAAGAAAGATTGCCTTTCAATTTTGACCGAAGACGGAAAAAAGAATACAATACAAAAGAGATTAATTTTAGATAATTTGAAAGAAATTTATATATTTTTTAAAGAAATGAGGCCTGATGTTAAAATCGGTTTTTCGAAATTTGCAAGCATTAGCCCAAAAAATTGTATACTCGTAGGAGGTAGTGGTACACATAATGTTTGTGTTTGCAGCTACCACCAAAATTTTAAATTAATGATCATTGGATCAAATTTACCCAATTTAACCAAAGATGATATGTTGCCCATTAAAACATATAAACATATTTTACCCTTAATAATTTGTAATCCGCCTCAACCATCCTGTTATTTGGGCAAATGTGATAATTGTCCAGGGTCAACAAATTTACGCCACCAAATAGAAATATTGTTTCGTTCTAAGGACATCGAATTTATAACATACAAACAATGGCTATCCGTAGATAGAACCACTCTTGAAACAATAACCAAGCCAGTAGATGAATTTATCAATGCCTTTTTTGAAAAAATGGAATCTTTATTACCCCATTCTTTTATTTCAACGCAACAATCATTGTATCAAAAAAATCTAAAATTGAACTTAGACAAAGGCCAATATTTAATTTTATGTGATTTTTCAGAAAACTATAGCTTTATACTTCAGGATGAAGTACAAAGTTATCATTGGAATAGAGCTCAATCCACTGTTCACCCTTTTGTTATATATTATAAAGATAATTTAGCCAATATTTGTTGCCTAAATTATGTAATGATATCCGAATCTTTGCAACACAATACAATAGCAGTACATTATTTCCCAAAAACATTGGTAAATTTTTTAATTAATAAAATTTGTATGCCAAATAAAATTTTTTATTTTTCCGATGGATCTGCTGCACAGTATAAAAATCGTAAAAATTTTATTAATATTTGCCATCATGAGATGGATTTCGGGATACAGGCGGAATGGCATTTTTCTGCTACAGCACATGGGAAAAGTGTTTGTAATGGGATTGGTGGCACTGTTAAAAGATTAGCCGCTAGAGCTAGTTTACAAAGACCTTACTCAAAGCAAATAACCACATCATATGAATTGTACGAGTTCGCTAAAGAAAATATTAATGGCATATATTTTGAATATATGACCCAAGAAAATTATGATCACGAAGAAATATTACTCAGGGAAAGGTTTTCAAAAACGAGACCTATACCTGGAACACAGAAAATTCACACGGTGATTCCCACAGGTCTACATCAATTTAAGAGTAAAATTTATTCCAATTCAATAGAAAGTAATATAGAATATTTATCATATAATGATGAAAGTATCATTTTTGGAGAGATATCAGGGTATATAACATGTGTTTATGATTCTAATTGGTGGTTAGCCTTAGTTTTAGGGAAAAATCAAAAGGAGGAAGAAATATATATAAAGTTTTTACACCCATCCGGACCTTCTAATTCCTTTACATTTCCAAGTATAGACGACACTCTACTTGCCAAAATGTCATATCTTAACATTAGTTTCACCGTTAACTGCTACTGGCCGTAGTTACACATTGTCGTCACAAGAAAGTAAATGCGCTACCGAAAAATTAGAATCTTTTAAAAGTGAGTTATATATTAGATTTTAAAATTTATATTATATCAATTATTTTTAATATTTAGGGCGCCATATATGAAATGCTAAAGATTCTGATTCATATATTCAAGAAGTATAAATTTGGTTGAATATATTTTATTAATATTAATATATGTTATATTAGCAAAAAATTATAAATAAAGTAATAAATTGAATTTCTTTTATCGATAGGCAATTTCTATAATTGAATGAAAGCCCCGGTATGACTAAATACTGAATTGCTAAAAAGCAATTAATCATAATCAATCAAAATTTTATTATGTATATTTTATTTAATGAAAATTTTTAAAACTTTTTTTAAAATATACTTAAATTATTTTTTTATTAAATGAAGGATACAGATTAAATATCATATAATATATAATTTTATTTTGAGTTAACCCGTTACTGGTTAACGGTGCATATATGCACCACCTCCTATATACCTTATTTTAACATAGTAGTTTTTATTTTAAAAAATAATAAAAAAGATTTTTATATAGTTCAGACATTGTACTTCATAACTGGAAAAGAAAAATATGAAAAAATATTTTTTTATGTCCCTAAGAAACCCTCAAACTTTGCGAATTTATGAGGTCTAAAATGCAAAATTTTTTAAGTGATCTCACAAGCATATTATAAAATTATTTCGATGAAAACTAGTGTGTATATATTCTTTATAGATATATCAATATTTATCAATCATTTTTGAATTTTTAAATAATTAAAATTTAATAGGTAACCACATAAAGTTGACTGGTGCATATATGCACCGTTAACCATCTAGCAGTATAA